AATAAGCTTTGCAGAAAATAAAATACTTGACTTTTTTCAACAAACGATGGATACATTTTCATTCACAACTGATCTCTGAACAAGCGCACACAAACTGTATATTGGAATTATAGCTCATTGGCTTGATCCTAATTTTCAGTTAAATCAAGTACTTATGACCATAGAAGAATTTTCTTATCCACATGCTGGAGAACATATTGAAGACTGTCTGAGATATGATGAGGTAGAGTATTCAGAAGTATGTAATAGTAGATCAGAATATTCAATACTAGAAGACAAAGTAAAGCATTCAAGATTATGTGATGATGACAACTCAGGAGGCATTACAGAAATAGGGTCAGAAGCATATACCGACGAATTCGAATATTCAAGATTAGTAGTTGTAAAGCGTTCAAGTTGATGTAAAAATGATGATTCAAAAGGTATGATAGGGATAGAATTGCAATTTAATATATCATCAGAAATATTTTCTGATCTATTTTGAAATGTAGGATAATCGTCTTGATCCATTATAATTATAAATATCATTAATGAAAAAACCTCTTCTTTTATACCGTTTTTAGATACAAAAAAAAAATTATCGCATTTGATTTAATCTTTCAACAATTGCTTTTTATTTCAATTAATCTAATCTTTCAACAATAGCTAATTTATTGTTAATTGGGGCTTTGAAATAGTATTTTTCTATTTAAAATTTTTATTTATTATTTAAAATAATTAATTCTTCTTTTCTCTTTTTCTCTTAGGAATTCGAAGCCATTTCTAAGATTCTATATACATACATCTCGCATATCAACATAGCCCATCTAATGCACACCTCTTTTGTCTTATTACTTCATGCTTTTTTTATTTAATTTGTGGCTATAGCCTTTTAATGACTTTACTTTTTTAGATTAGCACACATTATCGTTATTCAGAATCATAGGATTATGTGAGTGTAATATGAATGAGAGTAAAAACCTGTAACTTTATTATGATCAGTTACAGGTTTTTACTCTTAAGCGCTCATATTGTATTTGATTAATTATACTATCATGTTTGAAGTTTGCATCTGCTTAATGAAGTTTGCATCCGTTTGAAGTTAGCATCTGCTGAAGTTAGTATTTGCTTGAAGTTACAATTTCAGACACCTGAAAATGTATCTATTTAAAAAAAAAAGATCTAATTTTGGGGCTAATTTTAATCAATATAACTCCAAATGCTTGCAATTGCAACTTCAAGTATGATAATGTCATTCATCAACATTAATAATTATGTAATAGAATTTTAATTCAGAACATTATGACTGTGTGCACTTGGTTATTGGTGACTGAGATTGGTGTTGTCATTATTATTAGTTATTGAGAAAATAGTTTGGTTTAAAAAAAATGTGTTTGAATTTTGAATTCGAAATTTATTAGTGTTAAGAATCGTAATACTCAGGTCAAAGTTTCGTAATTTAAACATAGATAATATTAATACATAAAGAGCAAATTTAGCAATAATTTATATGATTTTTTAAATAAGGCTTGTTTGAATTTATTAATAAAGTTATAATTTCTGGAAATCAAATGCGAGTTATTTTAATATGCTACGATGAATAAGTAATATAAATATATTTAATTAAGAAATAATGTACAAAAGAAAAAATAGTAAAGCGAAAACAGCAATTCATAAAATAATCGGCTAGTCGACTTTGTAAAAATCGGTTTGGTTAAGTCGACTAATCGACTTAAGTCAATTTTAAAAATATCGACTTAGATCACTACTTCAAGATAAGATAAACAATGGGCTACAAATGATGCAACAGGTTTGTTTCGAATTTCAAAAAATTCGAGATCTTTGACAAGACTAATATATATATATATAACTAATTAATTTATTGTATATAAAAATTTAAATGGATAAACTTACCATACCGCATTAAATGATATGAACATAGCAATAATTTCAAAAATAAAAGTATTTGAATTATTTTTAAAAATGGTTGCTAATTCTTGAATTGCTTGGTTTTCATTGCTAATTCATTCTTCTTCTAAGTAAAATTGACGTAATTGTGTAATATTTTAGTTATTCCAAAAAACAAATCTGAACCACGAATTCCATTGTGTCTTAACAGATAATGGAGGTAAAATAGCTTGATTAGTAGTATTTAAAGAAGATTTAATAAAACTAACCCAACCTCTTTTACATGCTGGACACTGAACAAAAGAGGTTTTAATATTTTTTATAATGTTAGAAAAAAATTGAAAATTTTTGTAGTGAATCCATGTTTCACTGACTAAATTCAAAACATGGCTAGGCAATGGTTATATATTAATTGAGGTATAAAAGATGATAAAATTTCAAAAACTTTTAGCATATATGATGCATTATCTGAAATAAAAAAAATAAAATTTTCAAAAAGAATATTATAAAATTGAATAATTTTCATAACTAGCTGTGCAATAGATATACTATTTGCAATTGTAATAAATTCAGTTTAAATAAAACAGTACGCTCATTAAACTAAACAAGATGTTAACAACTGCTTTATTACATATATCAGTTGTTTTAGAAATTCATTTTTTATATAGAAGATTTTGTAATTTTAATACTTCGGCATTATATAATTTTATTAGGTATATACTAGGAAGTTGATTAGAACTTGCAATTGCACCACCTAAAAAAATAATAATAATAATAATAAATAAAATTAATGTTTATTTAATAAAGTTTAAATAATTACTGTACCATTTTTGCAATATTCTAAAAAAATTTTTTAGCTTATCAACTTTTTCAAAAGAAATATTAGCATTAGTAAATGCTTTTACTAATGCGATATTAATACATTCATAATCATTTAAAGTATTGCTAGTAGTGTCAAGTATTGTTTGACGAGATGACTTTAATTTTTCAGCTTTAATTACATTATTTTTATGCTTGTTAGATTTTAAATGTGAATCCAATGTGGATTTTTTTGTATGATCTATGACAAGTTTGCAAAATTCACAAAATAATTTTTGACTATCTATATAAAATTCTTTTTATATTCAAAATTTTCAAGCCTACATACTGTTGAAGAAACTATTGCTAAATTTTAATATAATTTAAGAAAGAACAAATACTTAATTTTATACTTTTTTTTTCTAATTTTTCAATACTTGTATAATGAATTATATATATTATTGAAAGTTTTATTTTAATAACTATAAAAAGTATTTTATTTTAATTTGTTCATTGATTATTGTTGTTTTTTTTCTTAGAATTTACTTGTGAATTCGAAGCATATTCCAAATTCATTTTGAATTTTAATAATAAAAAGTATTTTATTTTAATTTGTTTGTTGATTATTGTTTTTTTTCTTAGAATTTACTTGTGAGTTTGAAGCATATTCTCTAAATTCATTTTAAATTTTAACTATAAAAAGTATTTTATTTTAATTTGTTCTTTGATTATTGTTTTTTTTCTTATAATTTACTTGTGAATTCAAAGCATATTCTTTAAAATTTTAACTATAAAAAGTATTTTATTTTAATTTGTTCTTCAATTATTGTTTTTTTTTCTTATAATTTACTTGTGAATTCGAAGCATATTCCAAATTCATTTACTATCTTTAGGATTATTACTTCCTTGTTATAATTTCTATTACTTAACTTTTTAAGTTAGCAGTGTCAAACCTTTATTAAGCAGAATTATGAAGACCAAGTTACATACCAGTATTGCAGATTATGATATTTACATATATGTATACATAATTATGCTTTTAAAATTTTAAGTAATTAGACGAATTCTGCTCTAGCATCTAAAATTTGCCATCGCATATGCTATGCAATAAAAATTAGGTTTATGCGCATATTATGCTATCACTGCTTTTTGGTGGCTCTAGTTACTAGCATGCTTTATATTGCTTACACAATGCGCTTAGAGTTTAAATTTATTGCATTTAGTGACTAAATATAAGTAAATAAAATAGATAAGTTTATAATAATTTTGAATGTAAACTAATTTATGAATATTGGGTTTAATGTTATGCATAAGACTGCTTGCAGTTGATTCTTCGGTTAACATCCCCCCAGTTGAAGTCCTCCCAAAAAATAAACAACCAATCAAAATGCTGTATATTTCTCACTGATCACTTGATTTATATCAACTAATAAAATTGGCCCATATCTGTTCATTTTTATATGTTTGTTTCATTTTACCCCCGGGAGTTCAAGAAAGTAATATTAACCAAAGAATCAGATCAGTGAATATAAAACAAAAGTAAATAAAAAATGCAGATTTAGTGTATTATGCAAAATAAAGTGCATTTCGTGCTAAATATTGTAGATCTTTTTTTGACTGGTTGTATATAGTAATGTGATTAGATTTAATTTTTTATATATAAAGAAAATTGCATCAGTAGACACTTTATTCTGCAAAATAAAGTAATATAAATAATTATCGTTAACATTATTGTTCTTAATAATGTAAGAAAAAAAAGCTTTTTAATTTCAGATTTCCTGAAATATAACATTGTACGCATTTTGGTATGTCATGAAGAAGTATGAATTAGTTTTTTTATTGTGTATATAGGTTAAAATTGATAGATATATATATAAAAATTCATAAGGTTTATAATGAAAAGCCTGTCAATGAAGTGACAGAATGATCATTATTATAAAATCTGTGACAGGTTATGTTGATTACCAAATCAAAAGAATATAAAAATTAGAATTAAGTACAGGCTTTAATATTCAATATTTAATTTTTATTTAGAAGTCAAACTGTGGTTATCATAGTAAAATCTTGAGTTATTTATGATTTTTCTGTTTTCTTAAATTTTTTATGTTACACATAGTCTTGTGATTTTATTGGCTACAACTAGTAATGATGACATAACCTGTCACAAATTTCAGACGTGCCAAGGATATTTAAGGGCTTTTAATTAGTAGAAAAGCTGTCTCTCTTTTCGCTATTGCTCGGCTTGTAGTAAAGGCTGGCTCTATTATTCCACTCCATCCACCCTTTGCTCAATGACTCATAAATTAAGGGTGCGGAGATTATATGTTTGATGATTAGGCACCACAACTATAATAGAGTGCAAGGTCTTTATATTAATTAGGTTCCATAGCTTGAGAAGTAAAGGTCTAATGTTTGACAATAAGACTCTATAGCTTCATGTTGGCAATTAGGCATCACAGCCATAATAGTAGTGCAAGTTTCATGTTTGATATTAGGTGTTGTGGCTACAATAGCAGTACAAGAACCCCATATTGGTGTTGAGTGTCGTGCCTGTGATAGTAGCGCAAAAACCTCATGTTAATAATTAAGCTCCGCAGCTATAATAATAGTGCAGAACCTCACATTAGTGATTAGGCTCAGTGGTTATCATATTAGTGCAAGACTCATATTTAATAATTAGGTTCTGTGGCTTCAATAACAGCACAGTGACTTCAGGTTAGATGATGAGCTTCGTGGTTGCAGTGTGGATCCCATGTTGGAGATTAAACTCTGTGGTTAGAATAATAGCACAAGACTTATATTTGACAATTAGGTTTTGTGACTAT